GCCAGGCTCCTCGAGGGGAGGCTCCAGGGCGGGCTCCAGGGCGGGCTCCAGGGCTTGGAAACCAGTGGTTTAGCTGCCCTAGACATTCGGGGTCCCTCCCCCAGCCTTCTAGCAGCCCACTCACCGATTACCCCGTGTTAGCCCCAGGTGCACTGTGCAGGGCCTGAGTCCCCACTGCTGCTGTTGGACTGTGCTCCAGAGGGGAGCCTGCATCGTGCTTCCTGGCCCTGCCTGCCGGGAGGCGGGATGCCAGGAGGCCACTGGCCTTGGAGGGAGYGTTCACACACCACAGGCCGCGGCTCCTTTCTTTCTCTCCCCGTGTCCACRTTTCTTCTTTTAGGCGGCAGTTTGCCAGCACACCCCAGCAGTCCTCAGTCYAGGTCAGCACAGGCTGCCGCGGTGACAGCGCTCGGCATTGGCTGGGTCTGTCTCCTCCTGCCTTCTCACCTCCAGCCAGTGCTGTGCCTTCCATCAGCATGCCCCCCCTCCCCGGGGAAGGACCCATCTGCCCACACTCGGAGCCATAAAGTGCCCCAGTCTTGATGTGTTCAAAACAGAATTCAGGGAAATTATTGGCCTCATTTCTCTCCCAGTCAGTGAATTTGCTATATTTACATATTTACTTAAAAAGTACCACTCTCTCACATGGTAGTGAAATCCAGCAAGCCACATTCCCGGCCTTGTCAGCCTTTGGGTAAAGTGGGGTCCCACTGAGGGTCACAGCCCACATTCCACTCTCTGCCCCCTGCTCTTCTAACATAGTGCTTCGGCCTTCTGAGGACCCTGCCGCCGCCTGGGGTCAGGGCCCTGGCAGAGCTTGGGGGCAGTCCTCTYGGGTGATGGGCTCAGTCAGAGCCCRCTCCTGGGTGCCTGCTGCCCACCCAGCACACAGGACAGTGCCTCCTCCAGAACCCTGCCCTGACCCAGGTGTTCCCACGGGACTGGGAGCRTGTCCTCTCCTTCCATGCCAGCTGTCACCTGTCCTATGTCCCTAGGAAATTAGCTCTTCAGCTACGGGGAAAGGCCGCAGGCCCTGCTGGGGCCCAAGGCCAGGCTCATGGGCTCACCACCGAAGAAACAGCGAGGAGCAAAGGGAGGACGGAAGGCTGGGGGCCTCCCTGGGTGCTCTGGCCCCTTCTCTGGGTTCAGATTCCCTGCTGGAGTGGCAAGTGACTGGCTTCAGATGCGAGTAGCGTTTTGGACTTAGGTTTGCAGAAAGGAACCTTCAGGATCTCCTCTCCAGGAGGCTGACCGTCAATGTGACTGTATTTGGAAATGGGCCTTCGGGAAGTAATTAGCATTCTATATTATAGGTGGAGGGTCCCCATGGGGAGAAGTGTCCTCTGAGAAGAGAGGCTGAGCTGTGTGCACTCTCCCCTGCCCCGGCCCTCTCTCCCTGTCACCCATCTGCAAACCTGGAGCAGAACCCTCACCAGGGAGTGACCATCTCAGAACTGTAAGGAGGGGATTCCTGTGGAGCATCGTCTGAGCTGTTCTAAGGCAGCAGAACCGGGGACGCCAGCACAGRGAGTGCAGGAAGGCCACTTGTGCAGGGCCTGCTACAGCAAGGGAGCCACCAGCACCACTGTGCAGCACTGGGCAGAGCCTCTAGGCGGGCAGAGGAGTGGAGCAGGGCCCTGGCGTGCCCTGGTGCAGGTGGCCGGGAGGCTGGAGGCGGGCCTGCTGGGAGGTGGGCTGGGGTCTGTATTTGGGTATAGTTGTCCTACAGTGAAAGCAGGCCCCAGAGCCCGGAGGCTATCAGTTCCCTACCAAGTCCTGGCTGTGGCGGGCTGATGGCTGCAGGCTCTGGTTGGGTCCCGGCCAGGGTAGGTAGAGCTCCACTGAGCATCGTGGTCTAGCCGTTGTCCATTGTATGTCCAGTCCCTGGCCAGGCTCCCGACTCTCCTTTTGTGATGACSGTAGGACCCATGCCACAAGCGGAGGAGGAAGGCTGGGGGTCTGTCTGAGAGTGTCCTCCTGGGCTCTCTTGGGCACTGGGGTTTTAAATCAGGGGCTTGCTGAAGGCAAAACTGTCCCTGAACAAAATCACGGCTCCTGGAGCTGCTGGGCCAGGCAGGAGGGGGAGGGCACGTCTCAGGCCATGGGACAGAGGTCCCCAGCACACCTTTGTGAACATGCTGGCCCAAGTCCCGGGAAGGCAGGAGTCAGGAGGGGTCCCTGCCCTGGGCACTGAGAAGCCTGGGTGCTCCGGGGCCCCCTCAGCAGCCTGGTGGAACTTTTAATGTAACAATATTTTCTGGGGGAAAGGCAGCAGAACAAAGGACTCCCAGGACATATACAAAGGGCAGAACACCTCGCCTCTTGGGATTCCACGACACCAGCTATGGCCCCCTTCTCCCTGGCAGGAGAAGTCTGTTATCCCCTTTTAAATAAACCCCGCTTCATAAAAAAGTAYTTTATGACGAATTTAAAATAAACCAAAGACAGCGTTCAACCGTGGGACCCATATTCAGCTTGAACCCCCAGAGAGGGCCTGCCTGGGGGTGTCAGGTCCCAGGTGGGGAGGCACAGTGGCCGCAGCTGTGGAAGACGGGGGTCTTCCCAGCGGGCACTGGAGGGCTTCCAGGTGGGGGACAGGGCGGGCTCTCAAGGTCCTGCCTGCCTCCTCACTCTGATCCCAAAGTTTTCCAACGTGGGAGAATTCACCTTCTGATGTGAAACTGCGTCTCCTTTCCTGAGGGAAGTCCCCACCGAGGAAGATGGACAGAAAGGTGGACTGGTCAGGGTAGCCCCAGATGAGCCCCTAGACCTCCATGCCCCCGTTAGTCTGGCTTTTTAAATGCCCCTGGGCTCTTGAGGATCAATCAGGAGAGCTGCCAGAGTCAGCTAAACTGGCGGGGGTGGCCGACGGACCTGAGTCTCTGAGTGATGCATGGTGTCCCTGTCACCAATCCCTCTGCTTCCAGGCTGGGCCCTGTTTACACCAGACACTTGAATTAACCACAAAACCAATGGTGAATTTCCAACATGGAGCTGTTCTTGAGCTTTGTCGCACGCCATGCTGTGGAGTCAGCTGAGAATCCGTGTGACTYGGCGTTTGGGGACAGCTGTGTGTCTGCACCTGTGCAGACACAACCGAAACCCACTTTCTCTGGCTGACTTGGGGAGTGAAAATGGTTGACCCTGTCCTCTGTCACTCCGCTACGACGGCTGGTGCAGTTCTCACAGTCAGTCTTGGGAGCCCATGAGTATTTAAAGGCATCTGGAATTCTTGCCCACTTTCTAAGGTGACATGGTGGCAGAGAAGCAAGAAAAGAGCAATCCAAGTGGTAAAATAATGTTTTATTCCATGATGAACAGACGCTACCATGCCACATCCCCACGTCCCTCCCTCTGGCCAGATCTTCGGCCATGCTGGCTTCCCCTGAGGACCTCCTGGGCTCAGCAGCCAGTCGCGCCTGCTGAGAGCACCGCACACCATGGGACTTTGGATCGGTCCTGCTGGTTGGCACGGTGGTCATCTAYGCACATGGCAAAGTCCCACAATCAGACCTTCCAGGGATCTTACCAGGACTGACCTTCAAAGCTCTTGTGGATGGAACCAGGACCCCCAACACCAAAAAGCAACATGGACACATCTCTGAGGACAGGACGTCTAGGGCACCCCAGCAGAACCRGAAGCTGGAAATCAGCACTGACATTTGGGCTGTCTGCAAGCTCAAAAGGAAATGATGGTGATTGATAGATTTCAAACTAAGACCTCTAGGGAGTCCAGACCAGCCAAGAGGTGTCTGCATGCAAGCTCAACACAAGGTCAGTGCTGCGGGGGGAGTCTGCACAAACGCCGGAYGGACACGCAGTCCTTTCTTTATATACAACAAAATGAAATGCACACTGGGGACAGCAGCCGCACGTCYGGCCAGAGTGGATCTCACGAGGCTGGCGGAGAACAGCAGGGACCTCACTGTCTGCGGGGGAGGGGAACAAGCCATCCCGGGTGGGAGGCAGGGCTGCCCGCCAGGGCTGCCGGAGCTTGCTCAACAGACCTGTGGGTGGGATCGACACTCTGCATGATTTTTAGCCAAAAGTCATCTGGAAAGACTTGACAACTTATCAAAGAGGAGGAGATGGGCTTAAGGACAGGTGWGCATGGACAACGTGGACCTACAGCCGGATCCTAACATGGCTCGGTGGAAGGGGGTCTGTCTATGTTTCCTTTTGGTGAACACTACTGGGCSATTTCCTCCCTCAGGGTTGGAAATGCCTCCACAGTCTGAAGACCACCCTGAGGACAGAGCGGTTACTTCATCCAAACAAGTGCCCAATGGAAAGCAAAACAAAGCAACAGGAAGAGACAGAGAAGGAAGAAAAAGCACAGGAAAACAACCCCACAAGCCCAGACCAGGGAGCGTCAGGCGAAAACCATAGAAAAATATGAGTTAATTCTATCAGGTTAACCATTACGTAGCTACAGTAAGACTTTGTACAGAAAAGGGTCTGTTTCCTTGGTGCAGTCCCGAGTGATGCCAACTCCTGGTTATAGGAAAGAACAGGCCAGTGTGGACACATCCAGCCAAGACAAGGGGCTGTCCTGGCCGCCGTCCTCACTCCCACGGCACGGTCCAGTCACACAGGGCGCACTCCTGCCGCAAGCCGCAGCACGCTAGCGCGGGGGGTGGTCTTAATGCTACGACTGAACGCTTGGACTTAGGGGCCGGTTTCCTGTGGGCTCAAAGTGGCCCTCACTGCCATCTGTCCGTTGCTGTGTCCCCTGGGGGAGGGGCCATGGGATGTGCCAGTCACTGTGGGGCCAGGAGGAGGCGATGCGGCCCAGCTGGGGGTTCCAGGTTGCGAGGGGACACATCTCCCCTGGGGAGGGAGCTGGTCTCCCAAGCCAAACTGCCTTAGGTACCCAGGAGGCATGCTGTGGGACCTCAACACCTCCGCCCGGCCCCCGGGGGGAGGAGGGCGGCAGGGGGATTCCTCAGTTGCATATTGTGGTAGAAAGAGCCAYGTCTGTGCCGAGGGCTGGCACGCGGTCAGTCCTCCTCCTCGTCCTCTTTCGCTGCAGCGGCTGGTAGCTTGTCCTGGACCCTGAAGCATTCCACAAAGAAGTTGATGATGGACCTGTAGAGGTGCTGCTGGAGCGCAGCGCTGTGGAAGTAGTGGCTCTCGTCGGGGTATATCTGCAAGAAGCCCAGGAGGAGTTATCACCCTGGCCCACCCTCCCAGGGGACACAGGGACGCGCATGAGGAGACACACCCAGAAGCCCCCAGGCCTCCTACTGAATTCAGTTGGCACCATCGGTTCTGGAGGGTTTCAATGGCAAGCGCCATTCTCTCCTGGTACRGGCCGCTGCCAAGGGCCGTGGCGCGCAGCGGGAGTCGGTGTGCTAGGAAGCGCCACCTTCAACAGACTCAGCCCTCTAGGCCTCTTTTCTGAATTTGCAACCTGGGCACATACTTGGGGTCTTCAGAGGCTGTATCCCGAATGGGGGTGCCAGGATTTCCATAAGAACGCTGCCCACGCCAGCCACCCTCTGAGAGGGGGAGGGTCCCGGAGGTGCYGAGCCCGTTTCTGCCTGGCTACACGTGCACCTTGCCTGGGCCTCGCCTTCCAGGTGTGCAGGTGGGAGGATGATTGTGACAGACTCTGCTGACACGGTGTGTGAGAGGTCAATGGGAGAACACCCGTCCAGCACCGACGAGGAGGTCTGGGATGTGGGAGGACTGGCCCGCGGGCTGGTCCTGCTGGGTCAGAGCCCATTATTCTACCCCCAGTGCAATGACACCGCCTGCCCCTGGGGGCGCTGTGCCGTAACTCCAGGCAGCTCTGTGTTTTGAATTCTCTGATGTCGCTGAGGGTGGCGTTCACCTTTACCTTATGGTTTCATTAGGCTCGMATACTTAGGTTAAAATAGGGAGCTCACAAAAGGGAATGGAGGAGGAGGTCTGCCTCCTCTTCCTTCTCTCCCCTGACCCCACAGGCTCCCCTAGAGCTGGTCAGGGCTAGGAACTCACTAAGTGTCTGTTAGGACACTGCTGTGCCTGCATGCGTGGCACAAGGGTCTCTTCGTGGGCACAGATGGAGCGAGCGATGCACGCTCTTCAGCACCAGCCAGCTGGACTCAGCCTGCACCTCGGGGAGTGTGCCGCACACGCACCACCTTCTAACCCACCGTGGCTGCACCGTGCACGTGAAGTATCCACAGTACCACAACTATCACGTTCAGAGGGAAAGCTGACTGTAATACGACAAAATCCATCCGTCCCGTTCATCATTCATCATCTGGGGCCAAACTCCCTTGGACAGAAGCTCGCCTGACCCGCCAGCCACACGTGGTAGTCAGAGCCAGGCAAGGGCACGCTGAGGAAGACAGGGTGACCCGCCGAGTCCCCAGGGATCTCTGAAGCCCCAGAGACCATCGGGTCCTACCTGTTATACCAAAGGGACCAGAGGGCAAGAAGGAAACGGGAGAAGTGTCCAGAGGCCACCCCGTGTGTTGCTGGAGGGAGCCCAGGCTTGGTGCTGCTRGGTTAGTATTCAGARCCAGTGAGGACGGACAGTGGGTTGGTCCCTGGGAGGTCGCAGCACTTGGTAACAGCCACAGACGGTGCTGGGACTGCATGGCAAGTGTTGTGGCCATGTGTGGCACTGTCCAGAGGGATGCTGGCAAGAGCTAGGCCAACCCATGTCCCGATGCAGGAACACCCCACCGGCCATGCTGCTGGGTGGGGCGTGTGCTGGCTGGCCCTGCTCACTGCCCAGGGACGGCGTGGTGTGCTGGCYTGTGTTCCAAAGGGATCTCGTATGGCCTGAGTGTGGGGCTGAGCTACCGTCGCGAGGAGAAAAAGAAACCGTGTGCCAGTGTCTGAGAGGCTGTGCCCAGCCCACGGCCGATGTGCCCAGCACACACGAGTGCTGAGCGCCCTCCGTTCTCTCCCCAGGAAGAGGACGTCTTGCCCTGAGAATGAAGCACAGCAGATGTGCATACTGTACCTGTAAGCTGTAATTAGCCTTTCCCTTAATGAGCTGTGTAATGAGCTCTGCTGTGTGCTGGAAGTGGATTTTTTCTGAAAGAGAAAGAAAAAGGAAGAGCAAAGTATTTGCCAACACCGTAACACCATCGGGGCGTCTCCACCAGCTGGGCCGAGGGTGCTGGTCCTCACCGTCCGCCGTGGCATGGATGAGCAGGAACTGCTGTTCCTCCAGCGCCGACACCCGGTGGGCCACCTTGGTCATCTGCACACATGGGAAGGGGACAGGTGAGGGGCTGCAGGGAGAGCGGGCTGGGACGGGAAGGTGTCCGGGGAACACTAGGGGACTGGGATGCTCTATTCATAGTGCCACCCCTGGAGCCCCAGCTCCCATCCTCTGCTCAGTCTTTTAGGGAGAGAAGGYAGTTGAGGAGAGGAAGGGAGAGAGAAAAAGGAGTTTCTTCAGTGGCAGATGGCCTCGGAGGGCCATCGTTTCATCTGGAGCCCCTGGAGAGGCCCTGCCCCCAGGCAGAGCGGAAGGGTGTCCTGTCTGAGAGCCACACAAGTCCACTGGGTGCCCCATGCCGTCAGTGGTACCAGAAGCACTTCCTGGGCCTGTCCACAGCCCGTCTTCCCAGAGGAGAAACAGCTCAGGTGCAGGGGCAGGAGCCACCCACAGCCTGTGTCCCAGTGGGTCAGGACAGGMCTCTTCCTGTCAGATCCTGTGGTGGGAACAGACCGCACTGGGAGAGGCCAAAACCCAGGACAGAGTGTGGTAGGATGAGCTGGGGTTCTCAGCCTGAGGGTCTTTTTATTTTTGGCACTGGGGATTGAATCCAGAGAGCTTTATCCCTGGACTCTATCCCCAGTCCCCTTCATTGTTTTATTTTGAGACAGGTCTCACTGAGTTGCTGAGGCTGGACTTGAACTTGGATCCTCCTGCTTCAGCCTCTGGGTAGTTGGGATGATTGGCATTCTGCCACCATGTCCAGCTCAGCCTGGGCTTTGAGGGGCCAAGGCCCTGGCCCAGAGAGAGGGGCAGGCTRGAGATGGGGCCAGATAGAGGGGAGCAGAGAGTGGGGGAGAAGAGGTTGACCCATTCCACCTGCCGCCATCTCCCCATGGCAATCGTGCTTCAACGTACCTCGTACGCCCTGTTGTCCAGTCCGTGGAGGCCCAGGTACCGCTCAGAAAACGCAGACGCTGCATGGGGGCAGAGGAGGGGTCAGCTCCTGTGAGCCCAGACCCGAGGGATGGGCTGGGTGCAGGGACCCACCCACCGCACTTCATGGCAAAATGTTTGTTTTTAAACATCATCTGGGCATCCTGGTTGGTTGGGTGGGCGGTAAGAGAGTGCAGTGGTGTGTTCAAACGCAGGAGTGTTGCGAAACTGGAATTAGCAAACCTAACTAAGCTGAATCTTAGATCATCAGGAGTAGCCCCACTTCCTGTCCACACACAGGAACAGAAACACATGGCCAGAGAGCACATTCCTATCAGCATCCACTTATGTTGTTAGAACATCTAGGCCCGGCCCTGCCTGATGCTAGTTCCAGGTCCAGGACCTACAGGGACCTGGCATTGGCCAGATGCCAACGTAGGTCAGTGCCTAGGCCAGGGCTGCTCTGCCAGGAGGCCAGGGGAATTCTCCCCCCATCACGGGGTTCTGGGGAGTCCTTCATGAGTGGCAGAGACAGAGGATGGACTCCCCATCTCAGCACTGTGGTCATGGCTAAGTGCAGCCCTAGCATGCAGGAGGTCCTGGGTACCGTGGCCAGCACCACACACACGCACGCACACACACACACACACACACACACACACACACACGACACAGAGGGCCACATGTGCATACATTTGAATCAGGTAAATGTGAAGCAGCATGATTAAGAAATTAAGAAAAAAATCTCACTGAATTTAAAAATCAAATATATGCCACGCAGATACCAGGGGAAACTGACTCTTACTCAAAATTGGAACCAGGAGAGTTTCTTGTAGAATTCTGACTTGAAATCTACATTGGAAAGATCATGGAGCGTTCATGCCAAGATGGGGTGTCAGCTGTGGGCGCCCAGAGGCTGCTGGACCMCAGTGGCCCTTGGATTGCTGCCTGGTGTCCACGCTTTTGAGATAGGGCGTGTGGGCTGTRGGAGGGTGTGGTGATGGGCGGCTTCCCGCAGGGCTCTGGCCAATACGTGCCCTGGGCTTTCCACCCACAAGCTAGCACTGCGTGGGGTTGCCTGGCTGCCTTCAGCCCTGACCCAAGAGCAAGTTCTCAGAGCCACATAAACCACCCCTCTGCACGTCTTAAGATGGGTGAAGGTCACAAAGCCCCTCACAGTCAGAAAAGGGCTGGGTGATCAGAGGACAATGCAGGGAGCTTAAATCCCAAAGGGGCCACATCTGTGCCTGGGCAGAGGGCTGCTCCCACCCTGACCTGGGGGTCTCACCTCCACCAGTCTCCCACAGCCAGTCACCCTAACCACCCATCCCTGGAAAGCCACTCTGCTGCCTGCCCAGCCAGGGAGAGCACACGGTGGAGCAGAACTCTTGACCTCACTGAATGATCATCCAGGAGCAGCCGAGCCTCTCAGCCACCAGGCCCTTCTCAGTGAGCACATGCCTGCCAAACGCCCCAGGTGCCCAAGCTCAGTGCAGGGTCCTGCGTGGACTCTGGCAGCAAGGAGAAGGGCAGCYCAGGGGGTCCTGGAGGCCTCCTCGCCTTCTGTCCTGACTGCACTCCTGAGAGCTGGCCCCCAGTTCTGGCTCCTGGTCTCGTGGGCTGGGGATGAGATCTGCTGGTATTAGGAGGATGGACTCTTCCATTCAAAAGCAGTGCCTGACTCTCCCCGCTCCCAGGTTTGGTATGGACTGAGGGTGCCTGTGGTTGGGGTGCAGAGGTGCTGTCAGGGCCACACAAAGGGGCCCAGGGCCAGGTCCTATCCAGGCATTACCGTACAGCTTGAAGTCCGTTATTGGCGCCAGAGCAGAGCCACAGGTGAAGGTCTGGCCTTGATTTTCACCCTTGGCCGGGAGGATGTAAGTGCTCAGGTATCCGCCGTAGTCCTGGGAGAGCACGTCAGAGAGAGAAGACAGAAAGGAGAGCTGGCGTCCACCCCGCACCCTGGAACCCCTCAGAGGAGGGAATATTTTCACTTTCTTTCTTTCTTTTTTAATAGTTCTAGTTGTAGATGGACCCAGTGCCTTTATTTTGTTTATTTCTGTGGTGCTGGGGATTGAATCCAGGGCCTCACACATGGTAGGCAAGCGCTCCACCTCGGARCCCCAGCCCCAGCCCCTGGACTTTCTCTTTCTGATAAATGACTTGAAGATTTCTCTGAGGGCAGGAGGAGCGGCGCAGCACAGCCCTTTCCAGCGAGGTGGTCTGCCCTCTCTGGGCTCCGAGCCGAGTGGCACAGCTGTGTGCAGGTGCAGCGGAGATGCCGCTGCTGACCAGGCAGCGCTGGCACGAGGGCTGGAGCAGGCTGCCCTCCTCCACGCCCCAGTGCAGGCCGGGCCGGGCCAGGGGGAGGACGGAGGGACCGGGACTGCACCCGACAGACAYGTGTCCTGTGGGTGGGTGGAGCCCTCAGTTGACCTTGGGCTGTCCCGAAGGGCGGCTCCCCAGGGAAAGATTTACATCAGCGCCCACAGAGCACCCTCAGAGCTGGTCACCTGGTGAAGAGCAGAGCCCAGGACACAGATGCGAGCTCTGAGGAGAAAGGCCCAGAGAGCCAGGAGAGGGCGCAGGGCTGCCGGCCTGTGTGAGCAGGCCTCAGAGCATGCATGTGAGTGTGTGCACGTGTGCAYGGGGACRGGCGAGCAAGCATGCGTGTAAGTCTGCGTGACTGGTCTGTCAGTGTGTGTGAGCGTGTGTGAGCCTGTGAGTGTGTGGGCCTGTGCTGGGCTTGGGGCTGTGGCCAGTGGGGGCACGGCAGGAGGATGGAGAGACCCACGCTCTCTCCCTGTCTCCGGGGGCACAGGCGTCCCTCCCTGTGTGGAGCAGACCATCTGCTCGGGGCTGTGTGGCCCGGGTCCTGCACGGCATGATGAGGGGCACAGAGCCCAGCTACTCCTGGGCTCACCTGAGTGGACACAGAGGAAACAGGGTCCCAGAAGGTCCCCGAAGGCCAACCTTCAGGGACGGCAGGATGCTTCCTTCACAGGCTCTCGAAACCTGTGTCTTAGGTCAAAACAGCCCCAACAAACTCCGCCCCTGGAAGGAGCGTGAGCCTCCATGAGGGCAGAGCGCCCAAGAAAGGCCGGCGGGGGCCGCGAGCGTCTGGGCCGGACTCCTGCTGTGGGCTGGGCGAGTGGGCCACATCTACAGGTGCACGGTCCCTTCTCCGCAGTGCCCTGGGTTTCCACAGGCTGGGCCAGCCATCACTGGGAGAGCCCACTGACCACCAGGTGACCCTTGCACCTGCTGTGTCCAGAGCAAAGGTCTCATGGGTGGGATGTCTAGGCAAGGAATGGAGGCCGAGCTCTCCGGCTGTGCATCCACGTGTTGGGGAGAGTGAGGACCATGGGGACTGACCAGCGCCCCAGCTTCGGCCACCAGTCTGCTAGGAAGTGACTTCCAGAGGCAGGTACGTGATAAGAGGTGACCCTGGGATATACTCATCGGCCGTCCAGCTGGCTCTGGGGCCTCTCAGGCAGGGAGTGGCCTCCATATGCCTAGAGAGCCTCTGGGATAGTCCCAGGCTCTGGTCTGTCCCACAACCAGGAAGGTCGCACGCTCCCTCCCCAGTGCTGGGCGCCATGATTYTGGAGCTGCTTCCCAGATGGCCTGCTGCGCCTCCCCCTGCAGTGGGCTTATGGTGGGGGCCTCTGCACAGCCCCGGGGTCTTGCCTTCTGGAGATCAAGAGGCCTTGGTCCAGACACAGGGCRGTGGACACATCAGAACCATGGTGTGGCTCTCCAGGCACCCCCAACCCTGGGCCTCTACTGTGGCCTGCCTATACCAGCCACAGCCCTGACCTGAGCCCCCAGGTGGACGCTCCTCTGTCTGACAGTGAGCCTCCTCCCCCTCCACAAAGCCAAGGTGGAGATAGGAGGACACCCAGAAACAGATTCCCGCTGCCCTCCTTTCCTGGGTCCCACAGCAAAAGCAGGCACAGGCTCCGGAAGAAGATACTGAGGACACAGAGCCCTCCAGCAAGGACCCGGCCGCTCGCTCTTGGAGAGCAAGGAGAAGCACTGGTCATGGCTGATGAATGACGGCTCCCTCTGCTGCAAACACAACACTGCCAACCTCCTGCTCTTCAAAAATCAGCACTCACTCCCCAGACCCCAGACAACCCCCCAGGTCAGGGGAGCCTGGTCCAGACGCAGCAGAGGGGCCTGGACAGGAGACGGCACACTCACCTTCCCGAACACAGCCACCCGCGTTCTGTCGATGTACTGCTCCTTCAGCATGGTCCTGCAAGGTCAAGGAGGAGGGAGGGGACTCAGTGGCCCCAGGGCTGTGCTTTGTGCCCAGTGGCCCACAGACACTTCCCACCGTCTCCAGCATGAACACCCCTCTTTGAGGAGTGGTCCTCTGGGGCCAGCAGGGGCCCAAGGAGCCCTGGTTGTGAGCTGCAGGGCTGAGAGTGGACCTCTGAGCTCATCCCACTGTGGTGCCCTTGTCCCCAGTTCTTGGAGGAGGTTCCTGTCTTGTCCCTAGATGACCAGATACACTCCTTCCTTAAGTTCCCTGCCCTGGCCCTGCTGGGGAGCAACCAGCTGGTGTCCACCCGGATGTCCCAGGGCCTGCTGCCTCCTCACYAGAATCTTCCCACCCTCCCCGCTGTGTCCTCAAAGTGACTGCAGTCTCTGGTTTCCGGACCCTACTTCTGCGTCCGTCCTGCCACCTGCTGGARGTTCCCGGGATAGCTGGCTGGGTTTCCCTGGGGGCACCTGCCACCGGCCCRCAGCGGCTGCTCTCCGGTTTCTCTCCACTTCTTGGTGTGTTCTGGCTCCTGTTTGTTCCATTCTGCTGGATGGTGCCACCTGCACTCATTACGCCCTCCTCGGCCAGGAGAGGTGTGAAGCTCTAGGTGCTGGGTCCCAGGGGCCCCCTCCCAGGCCTGCCAACTTGCCAAGGAYCCCGGGCCCCAGGATGTGGCAGCCGTCCCGGGTGGAACAGCRTTCTTCTGCTGATGACAGAAGACACGACAAGTTCTGGGGGCACAGGAGGTGACTTCCTTGGCTTCAGCAGAACTGGGGTGATTTTGGTTGTCATGTCACTGTTTTAGTGTAACGGGGCTCCCCAGGTTGTATCTAGAACACGGGGACCAAGCCGTATCCCTCCAGGCCTCGGTTTGAGGACTAGCTGAGGGCAGAATAGGGTGCCTCCTCCTCCTCCTCCTCCTTCTTCCTCTCCTGCTTACTGAGTACCTGCCATTCATCAGGCCCCGGGTCAGTCTTGGGGACAAACGTCACATAACCTACAGGTCTCGACTTCCAGAAGCTTCTGCTCCCAGAGTCAGGATCCCTGCCTCCCACTGTGACTCAGCCACAGGAGTCTGGGACCTTCAGGCAGGTCCTTAGACTTCAGGGTCTCAGTTCTCGGGATAAACTTAACGGGCTCCCAACGTTGAGAYACGGGCTCGGTGGAGGCGGGAACAGGGGTGGGACCCTGACAAGCCAATTACGTGTAGTCTGCGTTCCAAATGGTGCTGCCCCAGCCTTCCAGAGTCAGGCAGGGCTGGAGGACAGGAACCCGGAGCTGCCCACGACCTGCTCTCTRTGAGCGTTTACAGAGCGTCCCTCCCCCTCCCTCTGACGGCTGGCTCAGCTGCACCCAGAGTGCTGATGCCATGACCCGCCCCTCAGCTGCTCGTGGGCAGTGGGCAGTGGGGAATGGAGCAGTGGCCGCTGGGTTAAGGAATCCAGAGGCAGACACTTGTGGGCTGGCTGGCGGGCTGGGAGTGCTGCCTCTGGGTRGGGGAGGGCAGGTGATGGGGGGCAGGAGCAGGGAGGCAGGATGGCCATGGTGCTGGGCCTCTGTGCGGGCTGCGCTGTGTCCCTGCAAAGATGCACGGAGACCCTGATCCCCAGACTTCAGCAGGAGGCCATRTTTGGAAACAGGGTCAATGGTAGATGTACTTAATTTGGGATGAGATCTCCCTGGAGTAGGGAGGGGCCCTAATACAATGTGACTAGAGCCCTTCCAAGAGGAGAGACCCCGGGGAAAGCCATGTGATGTGATGGTGGGACCCAGGGTGATGCACCCACCAGCCACAGGACCTGGACGCCTGAGATCCGAGAGGCTGGCAGAGGCAGGAAGGACCCTGCTGCCGGTTTCAGAGGCGTGTCCCTTCCACACACGGCTCTGGGGGCCTGGCCTTGGAGAATCAGTGCTTTTTCTTTTTAAAAGTAGTGTCCTCCAGATTTGGGACTTGAGACTTGTGCGCACACACACACACAATACATGCTCATGCACACGCACACACACCCTCCTCTCTCACTCACACACATTCTCTTGTACACACTCACTCTCACTTCCACACACACACTCCTCTCTCTCACTCACACACACTCGCTCTCACGCCCCAGGTCACCACCACTGCACTGCGTGTGTGGACACCATCAGTGCAGGGGAAATGCCCTGGGGAGGAGGGCCTCATTCTCTGAATTCCTGAATTTCCCTCCAAGGCCCTGAAGTCTATACACTCTACAGAAGTCTATCTGGGYAATCTCGAAGAGTCTGGCATGACCAGCTAATTCAAGAAGGGTCAACCTGGCCCRTGAGACTTCTCCCCAGGGCCACATATCCGTCCAGGCCACGTGGCTGGGGATCCGAGTGTAGCCTGTGGAGAAMGTGATGAACTTGAGTGAACCCAGGTCCTCTGGAGGACATGGCCAGGGTCTTGGCTCCTTTCTGATTTGTGAAACTTTCCTTGTTTTATCGTTGTCCATGACCACCTTGGGTCTTTGGTTGGCCTCTCCTCTAATGGCTGGGTGGTAGATCCCGCTAACGATGCCCACCTGGAAATGACCACGTTCTTCCCAGGACCAAGGACTCTTGTCTTGTAGCAATGTTCCCACTAGCCAGCTGGGCAGCTGCTGCAGGAAGATTTGCTTGTGGACATGGACCCTGCTGTATGGGAGGCAGGTCCCTGCGTGTGGCGGGCTGCTTRCTGCTGGGGGATGCGGGGACCCACTGCCAGGAGCTGATCAGAGCCAGTCGGGCATCTTTCTTGATCCAGCTGGTACTTCGCTCAGTTGCAGGCTTGGGTGGAGGGGTCCAGAGGACCCCAAAACTCGCACCCTCAAGAGGTGTGCTGTGAGCGGGGAGCAGGCCTGAAGMGCAGTGAACGGTGACGATGGCTGGGACGGGCTGCGCAGTCGGCAGCTCTGAGCTCGGCAGGCAGACAGAGCAGACGCCTTGCCCTCGGCTAGGACGGGGCACTGTGCCACTGGAGGCCAAGGAGCCCTCGTGGGTGGCGACGTGAGCCTCAGGGACACAGAGAGCCTGTGGGCTTTGCGGGGACCTAGACAGAGCTGCTGTCTGCAGGTGGCCCTGCTGTGCCTCCTGCCCTGCCTGCACCCCCTCACCAGGCGCTGGTTCTGCCCTTGGGGGCCCGCAGAGCCCAGAGGGAGCGGGGCAGGAGGTGAGATTTTAGCTGGAAGGAAAGGATGTCAGGAGACAAGGTCAAGGCCTCCAGGGGTGTGTAGGCAAGCAGGGGCCGCTCCACCCTCACCAGCCAGGTGCGTCCCACCCCTCCACGGGCTCCGTGCTAGGATCCATCCACCCCTCTACTCGCCCTTGCTCTTCCATGGTCCACCCTCGCAGTGGGTGTCAGGCGCCCTGGGCTGTGCCTGGCATTACCCTGGCCTTTGGAACATGTGTCTCCTGTTGCCATCTGGCTGTCCCCTATGCACCCCTCAAGGTCTTGGCCACGGGCACCTCTCACTGAAGCCCTTTGGGCTGGGCCACTTGCTTCTGTAGCACTGTGCTCCCAGAGCTAGTGTGGCTCTGCCGGGGCCCACATCAGGTGTTGACGTGACCATCCCTCCTCACACAGGGGACTTCTCTCCTGTTAGCTGCTGATGGGACATGAGGTCCAATGGGCTCCATCAGAAAAGGAGCAGCTGCAGGGAGATGGGGGAATGGGATGGCTTGTGAGAGTGGGGAGCCTTGGGAGTCAGCCKGGTGGGCCTCGTGATGTTTATCCTGCCCAAACTGGCCGTTCTGAGTAATGGGAACACAGACCCCACTCCGCACGAGCCAAAGTTGTGTGGCTGGACCCAGGGCCACCCTGCGGCCTCCTGGTGGCTCTAGGTTTTGCTGTTGTTTCTCTGCTCTTGTCCTGTGAGCTCCAGTGGTCGAGATTCGACGTGGCTGACGGTCTTTCTAGAACAGGGTCTATCTGGTTTTTGAACACGTGGCTGGTCCATTCTTTATTTTTGGAAAAGAATGTGAGTGTGGAACTGCCCTGTCCTCCTGTTCTCGGGGGGCAGCAGGGCATAGCCAAGTGCTGCAGCTGAGCCTGAAGGACACCTGACCTTCCACCTGGTCCTCAATGGTGAGAGGAGCCTGAGCTGGGTGGGGAGAGGACAGAGTGCAGGGGAAAGGCCCAGGGAGGAGGGACAGCCAGCCTCCAGCCCTCTGGCCTCCTCTTCCTGTCATGGGAAGCCTTCTGTAGTACACATGGCCGGCTGCTGGCCTGCCCCCATCAGCTCCTCCTCCTTCAAAACAGAAACCAGGGGTTCTCATCCCTCGTCCTTCCTCTGCCAGGAGGGGCCCCAGCAGGAGAACGTGGCCCACGTGGTCTCAGGGTGACTGCCTGCACCTCTCTTGCTGGTGCTGGTGCTGGGTTCTGGGTTCGGAATCAGCCAGGGCAGGGCAGGGCCGTGGAAGGAGAGGTCTGTGAGCTGAGTCTTGGGGAGCTCCCCTTCCTTCACGGAGGTTTCTGGAAGTGGCCTCCACCTGCCTGAACCTGCTGGAGGCRCATGAAGCGGCACGGAGCAGGTGCCTCTGATGGCCATCCTGCCATCCAGTGAGGAGTTAGCTCAGGACAAGGTCACGTGGTGGATAAACAGACGGAGGGGGCTGTTGGTCTCTGGATCTCTTACCCCGGGATCTGCTGTCCCTGTGGACTTTCAGAGCCAGCACAGCGCCTTGTTTAAAGCACATTTGAGGTGCGTGTGTGTGTGTGTGTGTGTGTGTGTGTGAACATGCACACGTTGACTTCAGGCAAACACAACCTTGAGGTGCACCTTCCTGACTGCCAGGTCCTCGATTTCTCCCTGGGTCTTGTCTGTCACACTCACAGGGGAAGGTATGGCCTTCTCCACGTTCACCTGGCTCCCATCACCCTGGAGAAGCCACTTGTCCCCCCTCACTGCTTCATGGGTTTAAAGTCCTTTATCGAGTGCAACCACACGCTATCCAGCTTTTTTTGAAAAAAAAAAAAAAAAAAAACAAGAGAAAATGTTTTGCAAAGCCAGTGATGTGGCCCCTTCAAAAGCTGCAAAGTAAACTGGAATGATAACTGGCACAGGGGGCAGTCAGCTGTGGCTCTGTGCTCCGTGTCCCCCTCACACGCCCGGGCCCAGCACGGGCACCTTATGGCCTGAGGGTGGAGCAGGCACCCCTCTCGGGTTGGAGACACTGCTTCGTCATGGGCCTGGTCACGCTTTCTCTTCCCCGTCCTCCCTGCCCTCCCAAGTGTGCGTCTGCACAGTCCACTGATGGTTCAGGGACACCTGTCAGGGAGCCCCGGTCAGCGGCTCACCGTGTTGTGCCACAAGACGRGGAACTGCCGCCAGAGCGAGCCTGAGGACAGCCAGCGTCTGGTCTGCACGGCTTCCTCACGTCTCTTTATCTCCAGGGAAAATGACCTTCAGTAAATGACTGAGCCCTGCCCCTTGGTGCTGGGCACTGCCTGACCTGGGTAGCACCTGGTTGGTCTCATTGGCCCAGTGACAAGGATGGAAGGGGACAGATAGGACGAAGATGCACCAGTCCCCAGAATCCAGGAGGACGTTTCTGACCCCCGACCTGCGCCTGCCCGGGGCTGTCTCCTCCGTCATGAGGGTGACCCTCTGCATGACCCCACTCGGATTCTCTTTCTGTCCTTTCTGCCCTACCTTCTCTTCCSTAGTGACGGATGGCAAAGACGTGTGTGGACACGGGCAACACTGGCCACACGGAGAAGCAAGGCACCCCACTGCCAGTCTCTGCCTCCAGCATGTGTAGTGACCACTCAACCCCGGAGCCACACAGCGGTGGGGACACCACAGGAAGGTCTCCCGGGGGCCTGCTCTGGATTTGCGCACAGAGCTTTCTGAGTGAGAGCGGGTGGCAGGCAGGATGCGAGCACTGACCACGAGCACCCATCCCACGGCCCTGGGCACAGCCCCACCGGAGAACGCGCCCCTCATCCCGCGAGCGGATGCTCACCTCACAGCCTCCATTTGGTCCTTCTCCTCCAGGGCGCCCAGCCGCCTCCTCACTTCATGCAGGAGCTTGGTGCCTTGGAAGCCGCTGCCTCGGCCGTCACATTTGACCACCACCGCCCCATGGCTGCTCACCATCACCGTCTCCCAAGTCACCTCAAACTTCTCCGCCACACTCTGGCTCCCGGGAGTGCCGTCCCTGGAAGGACAGTCACAGCTCAGCGTGCTACAGGGTGGGCCGGCGTGTCTGCAGGTTCTTTCCTAAAGGACCCTGCCCTTGACCCACAGGCTGACCCCTTAGTCCCAGGTTCACTGCCAGCGTGGGCGAGCTGAACTGTTCACACACACGGGTGGAGGTGTGCATGGGTGTGCGTAGAGGTGTGTGTGGGGGTGTGTGTGGTTTATGTGCAGGTGGTGTGTGGGTGGTGGGGGTGTGTGTAGGTACATGTGCAGTGTGCATGCGTTTTGTGTGTGTGTTTGTGTGTGTGTGTTGTTGGCGAAACTGTGTTAAACCAGTCCAAACATCAAGGGATGTGAGTCCAGGTTGGCGTCTACACCACAGTTCAGGTTGGCGTCTGTATGTTAGACTCATCACAAAGCCTTTGTGTGACGTAGGGGCTGAGCCCAGGATGGCAGCTGGGCGAGGCCAGGAGGTCCCTGGAGCTCCATCAGGTGTTCACCAGGTGGGCAGTGTCCTACGCTCCCTACGGCCACCCAGCGCAGGCCCCTGCTGGGACTCACCCTTCTCAGCCTCCAGAGGCAAGGGAGCTCCACGGCTCCTCCCGCTCCCTGTCTGGGAAGGGCAGGTGGGAAATGGACAAGGGCAGTGTCAGACCCTGGTGCCCTTCTGTAGTGGCACCGTCTCCTCCACAGAAAATCCTGATTAAGCTTCTCCAGAATCTTGACCATAACTGACCTTAGGACTATCAGCCCAAGAGTCTCTACAAAAGAGTTCAATTAGTTAAACTTCTTATTTCCTGTCGCCCTACCTTACTTGGCCTGAAAGACAGCACCCCAGGTGCTGGACGCCCCTTTACTAGATTTTCACAAAAATTTATCCAGTAGAGTGGTTGGTAGAAGTGTGTTTACAAATGCAAAGTGTGATTTAAAAAAGACAGGTCCTTTAACGAGGCCTCTGGCCTTGAGCTGGGCTTCACAGAGACGGCTACATTTCTAAGATAAGCTAACAGCTGGCAGGGGGGGAAAGAAAGGGGAGAGAAGCTCCCCTCTTCTCAGGTGCCATCCTTGAAGGGTTAACTTTCCCAGAACAGTGAAAACAGAAAGCTGCTTTATGTGAACTCCCACAGACTGGGACCTTCTGAGCCCCTCCCCTCACAGGCTGGGTATAAACTTCTGAAACTGCCTGAACTCGGTGTTCAGGGGGATTGATTGATTACAGCAAAAGCTGTGCCCTCTGAACCTGGCTGCAGCCCAATAAACCTGCTTCCAGTTCCTATTTGGTGTCTTGCCTTATCTGTCCCCTGCCACAATCCCAGAGCTTCTGAGTGTGAGTGCAGGTGACCACCCACCTTGCTGTTAGCATAGGGGCCTGTTAACAGGCACACCCAGGATAGGAACCCAGCCTGCAAAGAGCCCCAGGCAGACCCAGCCACTTCTGAGGTGCCTACAGAGCATGTGAAAGGACCTTGGTGTCTAAAGCAAGGGTCTGCGGGCCAGCTGGAGGAAGACTACACTTTCAGGGCCATCTAGGGATGATGCTTGGCTCCTGGCAGTGAGACGTGAGCTGGTCCAGCTATCAGAATGCCAGTAGCAGGCAGGGTCCAAGGCTTAGGCCTCCCCCGACTGTGCTCAGGGACAGCCTAACCTGGAAGG